AACACAATGAACGTACGAAAAACTAAGGGCGTGCTGACTCGACGGTCCCCGCCCAGAAAAGAAAAACACGAGATCCAAACTAAAGCAAATGCGCCGACCAAACGGTTCGCGCAAGTACAAAAACCCACACACAGAAACAGCAAAAGAATAAAGCATTCCTACTCGGCACTCTTCTCGGCATCTTCCGACTCGCCATCACCTCCTCCGAGGCCCCCCGACGCCCTCGTCGGGTCTTCGCCGACCTCTTCAAGATCGTCATCATCAGCATCTCTTGAAGTGTCCCTAACCTGCTCGCCCAACTTGGCATAAATCGCTGCATCAAGAGCATAAGGATCGACTAAAATCTTCACCGCCCCCGCGTTAGCAGATTCAGTCACGGTCACAAGCTCGGTGTTGGAGCGGGACGTCTCCAAACTGCCCCCGGCAGCGGCGGCGGCCATCCTGTTGGCGTATTCAACCACCTCCTTCTTGATCTCGGCCGGGGTCAGAACCCTGAAATGTTCGACAGTTATGCCGGCGAGAGTGTCAATGAATTTGAGGCCGAGCTCTTCCCTCTTTTCTTTCTCCCCTTCAAGGACCATGTCCATGAAGGCCCGTTGGAGCTCGGCGCGCCTTTTGCGGCTCAAGGGTGGAAGATCCGAAGCTGTAACTTGCGGGTCGGACCTGTTCAGAACGCCTTTGACATAATCCCTCTCATCGTCGTCGGCCGGAACGCGCATCTCCAAAATTGAAGTGTCAAAGCCTAACCTGGCTATCTTATTGTGCAAGATAAGTTCAAGATCTCCAACGCCATAGAGGCCGGAGCCGACGCGGTCAATGGTCCAGCGGAGGTTCAGGCACGTGTTGAATTCAAGGTCGCGTTCCATCTCTTCGGAATTCTTGAACTCCTCCTTCCCGAGTTCTTTACCAGCCTCGACGCCTCGGTTGCGCATGAGGGTCCCATTTTCAGCCATCTCTTTTTCAAGTCGGGAAACCTCAGACGCATGCGACTCCTTGAGCCGTATCAGCTCAGCTTCCTTCTCAGCTCGGTCTTGACGAGTCTTCTGATGATCTTCACGCTCCTTCGCGAGCTTCTCACTCGTCTCCCTGGCATTGTGCTCGGAATCGATGACTTGGCTCGACAACTTGTACACCTCGGCCTCCAAGCGTTTCTTATCTTCCATCAGGGCCGCGATCTCGGCCTGTGCTGCCGTCAACTGATCAGACTTCTCGGTCATGGCCGCCACGAGCCCCGCTTTCTCA